TTATGATATTATTGAAATAATAACAATAATAATACTTAGGAATAGCAACCTCAATATACTATAATGGATGTAAAACTAATTAACTATATCCAAAATAAACATCGGCTGTGCATGAAAAATAATTTATAATGACGAATCTGTAAATTCATTACTTTCAGAGGAATTAAACCTATTTTATATAAAATTGATATCAAGCAAAAGACTATATCTATGAAAGAAATCAAGTAAATGTTATGGTTACAACTTACAACACGCCTCGTAATGAATTTATCATAGATCTATCTTATACTATTTTATTGAGGAGGCGTGTTGACTAAGCTGTTTTAGAATTGGAAGGTCCCGGGTTCAAAATCAAGTCGATCCTTTGTGCCCGCTTGTTAGGCGTTCCTAAATTAATAGGCCCCTCAGACAGAATTTAAAGCCTTATATCCACTTGTTTATTTAAAAATGTTCCTTTTACGTGTACTTCAGATGTGAAGTAAAATAAAACAAACAACAAGCATGTGCTCTCAGATGTAGGGTGGGGTCATTGGCAATTCCATTTACCAATGGCGGTGCGATATTTCTACCCTTAATTTTTGTCCCAGGTATAGGGTTAGGTAAAAGTAAAAATTGGATGTTAGGTTCGGTTTAGGGTTAGAGTTAGGGTTAGGTATAATGTTTCATCCAAGCTTTAGGTTAGGAGTTAGTTTGATGTCGGAAATATACCCTAGATCAATTACCGGAGCAATCAGCTGGTACTAATAATCCTTTTTTATTTAAATTGAATAAGATTAATCAGTGACTGATTTAAGAGCTTTCTCAACAAAGCTTTTTTAATAAGTACCTCCCAGGAACCTGTACGAATTCAGATTGTAAAGGACAAATTACAGATAATTGCGCTTGAAATTATTTAAGATTTTGTTTCAGTGTGCAGTCCAGTTCTTTAAAAAAAAAATCCAAACTAATCTACTGATTGCAATTTTGTTAAAAACTGTATTATCATAACACTTTTCACAATCTGACACAGCAGGTTAATCTGCTTATCATAACAATGACGATAAAATTCATAACCTTAAATGTTAGAGTACTTTCCTCGCTTCAACCCTCTCCGAAGAAAGCAAAATAGCCCAATGGCTACTGTGGAAATGTGTTACATGCTGTGTGAAAGATTAAAAGTCACTCTAAAAAGATGAAGTCAGTTTCGCTTGATTACCTTAAGGTTATTTACCTATCAGAAACCTGTCAAAAATCATGTGAATTAGGGGCGCAAGGGGAAAGAGGGAAAAGGGGAAAAAAAAGAAAAGAAAAAAGACAGCCCCCCCCCCCCACACACACACACACAATAACAAAATATATATAATTGCTTTAAAGGCATAAAGATTGATCGTAGGAGGGATTCAAAAAAATATGAAAGAGAAAAAGGGAGACAGACAGACGGAGAGAGAGAGAGAGAGAGAGAGACGTAGACGATATAAAGCAAGTGAAGAGAAGACAGAAATAGAGAGGGTGAGGAGAAAAAAAAATTAAAATAAACAAACAAGAAGAAAAGAAGAAAACACATGTAGAGCCAGAGATTAAAAAAAAGAAGTGATTAAAGTGATAGGTAGACAGAGAAGACAGAAAGATTATGATAAATTGAGAAAGGGGCACAGAAATATAAGAAGTCAGAGAGAGAGAGAGAGAGTGAGGGAGAGAGAGAGAGAGAGGGAGAGAGAGAGAGAGAGAGAGAGAGAGAGAGAGAGAGAGGGAGAGACAGAGAGAGAGAGAGGGGAGGAGCTCTTGGTCTTATTGTCAATTCGTAGCGGATTTTTCACGCGTACAAATATTCAACAACGCATTACATTCCCTAAGTATATCAATGATGTCATTTTCAATTTCTTCACACCAATCACAGTTGTTCAGTTAGGCACCGAATACTGAGAGCGCATGCGTATTGTTACTATGCCAGTTCAATTCCCGTTAGAGGTTGCAGTTCTAGTTACCTTAAAAAATCCCCCAACGGTTGTCATAAATGTCCAAATTATGGATTTGTGTTTGTATTATCATTATCACTCTCCAGTTGCAATTAATTAATTTATTTGTCCATTTTCTTTATTTCTTATCTATTACCAATTTTGTTTTGACTATCTATATAATATTAGAGGGATCCACATTCTGAAAGCCCTGCTTCTTAAGTAGATCCCTCCATTTCTGCAGTTCTTTCATTAAAAAATCTTCCATAATTTACAGCAAATGTATTAAATTTGATTAATGATTTTCAAAATGCACCATATTAAATGACCATCGACTTTTTCTGATTGATTTTTTTGTTATAAACATTTATAGTGACTGTTCAAATGAAAGTGAAAATATAACTGGAGTTAGAAATATTTATCGAATGTAAATTCAAAAGATATGTAACTGACGAATAGATACAAAAATAGATAAAAGCAAAGACAAGAAAGAAAAAGTGAAACAAAAGATAACAAGTTAGAGCAGAGGAATATACTATCGCCACTAACATTTTCTAACCTTTACATACTTAAATACGAAAAAAAATCTCTTCACAAAAAACCAAAAAAAAGTTACGGCCAATCTTCCATCCCGGCCACCATCTTCTCTGCTGTCAATTATTTAAAAAGCAGAGTAGGACCCCGTTGCTCTGACTTCTTGCTCGTGCAGGCGAGAAAAGAAAACACTATTTTCGGGATTATCACCTGAAGCTATCGGGCGATGTGATTTACGCTGCGTCTCTAGCACCGACGTCCTTGTTTCCTTAACCTGTTACCGTTTCGTTACTCATAGAATACATGTAAAGAGTATTGGTCAGCGAAAAGAAGAAAAAAAGAAGAAAAAAGGAGAACAAATCAGAAGCTCGATATTTTTTAACCCAAAGACGAGCATTTTTTGCATATATATATTTTCGTGTGTGTGTATGATCTAACACCATATGGTGATAAAGCCAATGTCCCAAATGCAGAATTTTAACAGGAACATGAATAGAAATTATATTTGAAAAGTAGATATTACATGTTTAAAACAAGTGTTAAGTGAGTTTGATCTGTATGAAGGGAGTGGGAGTATTTCTACATCTAATACAACTATTTCTACATCTACTGCTAGTATTTCTACATCTACTTCCACTATTACTACATGTACTACCAGTATTCCTACATGTACTACCACTATATCTACTTCTACTTCCACTATTTTATTCATCTGCTTCCACTATCTCTACATCTACTACCCCTATTTATGCATCTACCAATACTTCTTTAACATGTACTTCCATTATTCATATTTCTACTACCACTAGGCCTATTTCTCAACCTATTAATCCTTTTTTAAACATCTACTACCGCTATCTTTAAATGTATTTCCACACCTACTTCCACTATTTCTAGATCTATTTCCACTATTTCAATATCTACTACCACTATTTTTACATCTACTACCACTATCTTTACATCTACTACCACTATTTCTACATCTACTACCACTATATATATAATTCTACTCCACCATTTCTAAATCTTCTACCACTATTTCTACATCTACTACCACTATATATAATTCTACTACCACTATTTCTACATCTACTACCACTATATATATAATTCTACTCCACCATTTCTAAATCTTCTACCACTATTTCTACATCTACTACCACTATATCTACCACTATTTCTATATCTTCTACCACTATTTCTACATCTTATACCACTATTTCTACATCTACTTCCACTATTTCTACATCTACTAACACTATTTCTACATCTACTACCACTATCATTACATCTTCTTTCACTTTTTCTACATCTACTACCACTATCTGTACATCTACTACCACTATTTCTACATCTATACTTCCACTATTTCTACATCTTCTACCACTATTTCTACATCTACTTTTACTTCTTCTACATCTACTACCACTATTTCTACATCTACTACCACCATATATAATTCTACTCCACTATTTCTACATCTTCTACCACTATATATACCACTAATTCTATTTCTTCTACCACCATTTCTACATCTACTACCACTATATATAATTCTACTACCACTATTTCTACATCTACTACCACTATATATATAATTCTACTCCACCATTTCTAAATCTTCTACCACTATTTCTACATCTACTACCACTATATCTACCACTATTTCTATATCTTCTACCACTATTTCTACATCTTATACCACTATTTCTACATCTACTTCCACTATTTCTACATCTACTAACACTATTTCTACATCTACTACCACTATCATTACATCTTCTTTCACTTTTTCTACATCTACTACCACTATCTGTACATCTACTACCACTATTTCTACATCTATACTTCCACTATTTCTACATCTTCTACCACTATTTCTACATCTACTTTTACTTCTTCTACATCTACTACCACTATTTCTACATCTACTACCACCATATATAATTCTACTCCACTATTTCTACATCTTCTACCACTATATATACCACTAATTCTATTTCTTCTACCACCATTTCTACATCTACTACCACTATATCTACCACTATTTCTACATCTACTACCGCTATTTCTACATCTATACTTCCACTAATTCTACATCTACTACCACTATTTCTATATCTAAACTTCTACTTTTTCTACATCTACTACCAATATTTCTACATCTACTTCTACTATTTCAATATCTACTGCAACTATTTCTACATCTTCTACCTCTATTTCTACATCTACTTCCACTATTTCTACATCTACTTCCACTATTTCTCAATCTACTAATCCTTTTTTTAAACATTTACTACCACTATCTTTACATCTAGTACCACTATTTCTACATCTATTACTACTATTTCTATATCTACTTCCACTATTTGTACACCTACTTCCACTATCTTAACATCTACTACCACTATTTGTACACCTACTTCCACTATCTTTACATCTACTACCACTATTTCTACATCTATTACCACTATTTCTATATCTACTTCCACTATTTCTATATAAACTACCACTATTTCTACATCTACTTCCACTATTTCTACATCTACTACCACTATTTCTACCACTATTTCTGTATATACTATCACTATGTCTACATCTTCTACCACTATTTCTATATCTACTTCCACTTTTTCTACATCTACTTCCACTATTTCTACCAATATTTCTATATCTTCTACCACTATTTCTACATCTACTTCCACTATTTCTACATCTACTACCACTATTTCTACCACTATTTCTATATATACTATCACTATGTCTACATCTTCTACCACTATTTCTACATCTTCTACATCTATTTCTACATCTAATACCACTATATCTACCATTATTTCTATATCTTCTAACACTATTTCTACATCTTTTACCACTATTTCTACATCTACTTCTACTTTTTCCACAACTATTGCCACTATTTCTACATCTACTTTTGCTTCCTCTACATCTACTACCACTATTTCTACATCTTCTACCACTATTTTTACATCTTCTTCCACTATTTCTACCACTATATCTATTTCTTCTACCACTATTTCTACATCTACTACCACTATATCTACCACTATTTCTACATCTACTTTTACTTCTTCTACATCTACTACCACTATTTCTATATCTACTACCACTATCATTACATCTACTTTCACCTTTTCTACATCTACTACCACTATATCTACCACTATTTCTATATCTTCTACCACCATTTCTACATCTTCTACCACTATTTCTACATCTACTACCACTATCATTCCATCTACTTTCACCTTTTCTACATCTACTACCACTACTTCTACATCTACTTCCACTATTTCTACATCTACTACCACTATTTCTACATCTTATAACACTATTTCTACATCTATTACACTATTTCTACATCTTCTTCCACTATTTCCACATCTATTGCCACTATTTTTACATCTAAACTTCCACTATTTCTACATCTACTACCACTTTTTTGAACATATAATACCACGATTTTTTTTTTGTCTACTCACACATCATTCATATCTGCCCCAAACTTCCATATCAAATACTTAATGACATTATATTCAATGTTATTCTTTTAAAATCTACCTCGACTTGACATTTCCTTGACTGGATCTCCAATTACTGTGTATTCGAAATTGTTATCAGTAATTAATCCATACATTCACATTTGAAAGCTATTCTAGACTATTACACTGCTACTCTCATTCGTCAACAAACCTATCCATATGTTTAACAATTAGCATTATTAATGCTACTCATTCTGCGGTTATTACTTTCTATTTTTATTTTGTTATGGCTTCTAGTGCCATCAGTGAATGATGATACAATTAAAGAAACTGTATCTTAAACTAACTATTGGTAACCCTGCTAATTATATCAACAATTAAATTGGCAATCATCTTTCTACTTTAAATCAAGGTAGAACGTATCTAACCACATTTTTGCTTCATACTTCCAAACCGTGAATTTATGATAATTAAACATTTATGGGTTTATTCACTTTTCATGATAGACATAAATATTTTGTCTACGTTTTTTGAGTTACATCGGTGAATTATGAAAATTAAGGTCAATGTTATTTGTGAAAGTCATTCTATTTTTAACGTTCCTCTCAAGAAACAACATCATGATTGGTGATTAGTTGATTTACTGATGATTACTTTTTCCAGACATTGGTTAAACACTCCTTAGACGGTTGTTTTCGCAGCGTTACATTAATTTGTTTGACGTGTTTGTTTGGTTCATCAGGCTATGTTAATTCAATCATTCCACCGTGTGCTCCGTACATCCATGTTGCAAAAACAACAACGGGACACGATTTTTCTTCAAAATGAAACCGCAGTCCACCTTCAACTCTTGTCAAAATATGAATGTCATCGTTAACTTGATCCATTGCGGTGATTTCCTGCATGGTATCAACTGGAAACAGTGGAACAGAATCGGTTTGCATTATTAATCATCTTGATCAAATTAAACGGGAGAGAAACAAGCATATTACGACTCGGGGGCTAATAAATGAATTAGATGAAAACGGGCGGAATTGAAATGGCACTCGCAAACGGTGCGGTGTCGGTGGTAATGATGCACGCGGTGTAATTCAGGAGAAACTACCTTACGGCAGCGATCATAATTGGTATTAATTTCATCCAATTATTTGTCTTGTTTACATAACAATGATTACCGGATAGCTCGTCTAAAGACGGGCAAAAGGGAAGTTAGATTTAAAATTTAAAAAACAGTTTATTAGTAGAAGGGCAATTGAAGATGATAATAATTTGAGGGAAAGTTTAAATAATATGGGTTTAATAACTACTTTATGTATTTTTCAATCCTGGTGATTGATTCTGGTTGGAAAAAAATGTTTATTTCTCATTGTTGTCAGAGTCGTTCTCCTTTTCTCTCCCCAAAATCATGTACAATGTATTATCATACAAACACAGGTGCACGCACTCCCACTCCCACATTTGTGTGCGCGTTAAACACCCGAGTATCTTTGAACCGGAGACTTCGCGGAAGATGGTTATGTTAATTTCTTCAATTGGTGGACGAATTCTTCCTGCTTTTCTTCAAAGTGGGAAATCAAGTCATTTGGATTCAATCTTGCTGAAAGCACTGTGATTGTTGTATAAGCGAGCGATTATTCGCCCCTTTTCATCATGGTCGGTGGGCCAAGATGGAAGAGGACAGGACGAAATTTCCTATTACCTCCGCTAATACGCGAAGTCAAGTCACCACAAAAAAGGCGCTTTACCGCTTCGCACTGTCCTAATCGAATCACACCCCATCCTTTCCGCCAAAAGTCACTCGGCGCTTCGCTTGTCAAGATACGGTAGGCCCCTCAGTGCTCTCTTTCTCTATCTCTTTCTCTCTCTCTCTCTCTCTCTCTCCCAATTTCTTTATCTTTACCTGCACCTCGTCCTCCTCCTCCTCATCCCTCCCTCCCCGCCCCTATCCTTGTCTCTGTCTCTCTCTCCACTTCACCTTCTTTTTCCACTCTCTCTCTCTCTCTCTATTTTTTTTTTCTCTCTCTCTCCCTCCTTCTCTTCCTTTCAAACCCTCCTCCATTCTACTATCTCGACATTCTATTTCTGTCCATCTCCATTCGTTTCATCTCATTTCTCTCCTACCTTCTGTCTCTGCCCTTTTAATGTCCCTAAACTAGCTTATCCACTCTTTCTGTGTCTATACCTGTTCTCATAATTATTTTCCTTATATTTCCATTTCCTGTTCTCCTGTCACTGAATCCCAATTAATTTCATAATTTTTATTTCTTTACTCTGGTATATGAAAGTCGGAAATGAAACGGATACGAGATAAAGAGAGAGGTACAGAGAAGAAGAAAAAAGAAAGGAGAGAGAGAGAGAGCGGGAGAGAGAGAGAGAGAGAGAGAGAGAAGGGAAGGGGTTGGGAAGATGATTGTGATTTTCAACATCATTTTACTTCATTCGTTCTTATTAGCAATGGAAAAAAGAGCATCGACCAACTACTGTCTTAAGATTTACCCCGATTTACTTCAAGGCATGAGAAAAACCGAAGAAGAAAAGAAAAAACATAATGGCGAAGCGTGACCGAGAGAGAAAAATTCAATCGATTAGATATTTGAAAGGCCGGTAATTCAATCAATTCTTACTCGCCACACGTTAAGCTAATGAAATTAGTCGGTGGAGCTAGTGGATCGCGAAGCCGAGTTAGGGCGTCGAATTTCAGTGGGACGTGCGGGCCGGCAGACGAGGGGGGTAAATTGTTAGGGTATACACTCTCGATTCGAGACCCCAGCGCTCTTAATCGCTCACTCATGCCCGCTCACAATGGCAATATGCTCAGCCTAAAGACGATTTGTCTTCCTTTTTTCTCTCTTTTTCTTATCCTCCATGTCGTCTTAATTCTTGGGCACACCTTTCAGGGGTACGGGTCCAGAGAGAGGGATAATTGTGTACACAAGCTGGTGCCACGTCGCTGTCTTCACATTGGGCTTAGATAGCGATAATGGCTCGCAGTTGATGAGTTCTACAAACAACACTTACCCTCGATTGCATATCCCTACTCATGACATTTCTTCATTTTTAAAAATCTTTTTATCTCTTTCTTTCTCTATCGCTCTTACACCCTCTTTCTCTCTTGTTCTCTTTCTCTATCTTTTTATATTTCATTTTCTCTTACTGTGCTCTGACTCTCTCTCTAGTTTTCTATTTCTCAATTGATGTCCATATTTTATATCTTAATGCCGTTCTCTCTCCTCATCTCTTTCTCTCTTTCTCTCTTTCTCTCTTTCTCTCTTTCTCTCTCTCTCTCTCTTTCTCTCTTTCTCTCTTTCTCTCTTTCTCTCTTTCTCTCTCTCTTTCTCTCTCTCTCTTTTCTTTCTTCCTCTCTCTCTCTCTCTCTCTATCGTTTTGCCTTTCTCTCTTTTCTGATTTGATGTTAATGTATCTGTCTCTTTAATCTCCTTTGCTGCCGAATTGCGGTGTGTTATTGATTAATTCTATATGTTGAAACTGAAATTTTCTTTTCAAAAGGAGAGCATATACTTTCATATTGCCACATTTTGGTCATGTTTAGCTTGTTAAAACCTTTAGCGAAAACGTTTATACAAAGGACAGGTTGATTTTATATAAACAGTATTAATATATTAAAATAGACATTGTGTATCCAAACTTGGAGACTCTCAACATATTTCTCGACATGTTCACGTACGTTTTTTTATGCAATGTGTCTTTGAGAACACCTGGTTTATAATAGGAGGATTTTCTCTTATGCTCGGAACGAGGTATAACGTTCTTTATTTTATATGTGTTCTACAAATCTTTTAGTAATTGTTTCGCTTCTTTAGTGAAAATGCAAGTATTGATGAATTGATAATTCTAGGCATTATCCGTACTGATGTTTACATTAAAGAGATTAAATAATTGTAATGAAAGAAAACAAAACATTAATTTTGATCAGATTGTTTCAATTATCTTTGCGGTAGATAATTTTTCTAAATTTTGATTCATCAAATTATATTCTGAATATTTAATTTGTAGATTAACAAAAAAATATGGCAAAATTGTCTTTTGAATCAGATATCATTCAAACTTAACCAGAAAAACTAAATATGAAGAAAAAAAATTAAAGACAAAAAAAGAAATGTAATATCTATTTGCTATATTAGGCGAAGTAAATGATATTCTTTAAGGAACCAGTTCTTTCTCCCTAGAGACCGATTCATTGGCCTTTCTCCTACTTAAAAAGAGGAAAAGAGAATCGTATAATCGACTAGACAACAACAGCTTGATCTTGTTCCTATCCTAATGAATTGCTTTTCTTTTAAATCTGTGGAACTTGAGAAAGAGAATTCTAGCGAGTCATACTACCATGTCGTCAAAGTCTCATTGTATTTCTTCTTTTCTCACTCGAGTTAAATAAAAAATGAAGTGATACGTCCAAATAATACAATTACGCTCTTACGAATATGCATTACGTTGGTTCATCGGGAAGTGATTTTTTTTTTTATATTTGTAAGAGTCGGAAAAGAAGGAGAGGATGCGAGGAGAGGAGGAAGGAAGAAAAAATGGTCAGGCTATTGTATCTGGCTGTATTCTACCTGATAGATTTATTAGCCACCGTTTAAAGTATCA